ATAGGAAATATTTTCCTGTGACATGGTAAGTTTGATAGATCTCTGCCTAGAGTGTTCAGGGCAGGAAGGATCTTTAGCTGTGTGAGATCCTGAACAAAATAAGCACGTGGGAGACTGTCTTGTGCATGATATTCCTTCATGATTTTGAGCACACACAAAACACCGGGAAGATGACCTACACTGTGAGATTACATGCCCAAAACGACAACATTTGTGACATTGAATAAGAGGTAAAATGTAGGGCTCAACAGGCATTGAGGTAAAAAAACAATAAATGTTAGAAGGAAGTTTCTGACCGGAAAAGTCAAAACAACTGTTTGAGAGGGAATCCACACAGTGCTTTGGTTTTCATTAACTGACTTTCTATTAAATCGGCGAGCTTTAATAATTGAGCCAAAACCAGCTGGGACCTCGATTGATGAGATGAGTTCCTCTAATGTCCATTCTACAGGGACCTGCCTCACTATTCCCATGCGTGTGACATTATAAGAAGGGATTACAGTATCATATTTAGCACCTGCAAGGGCTGGGTTCTCAATAAAACAATTTGCATCAGCTGCACTTTTAAACTCGACTGAAATTCTATTGCGTCCTACTCGCTTAACACCATCACTTAAAACATTTTTAATATTATTGTGGTAGAGAAAATGACCAAACTTTATCGGTTTTAAAACTACTCCAGTTGATGAATCATCTACTCTCTTACTTACATGTACAATAAACGGCGCATTGTCGTTATTAGAATATTTATGTTTTTTTTCTATGTATTCAGGGTGGGTATAAGAGGTCTGAATAGATGGAACAGGTTGAGATGGATCTGTAATTAATCTTTTCTGAGGATGACCTGAGTTATTGGTTGCTTGCAATCTTTTACGCTTCGACTGATCAATTTCGATAGGAATATTATTATTTTTTTTCGTACCAGTATGGGAGTCACGTGGAACCCCGTCGGGATCGGGAGGATCTTCCTCCATTTTATTCTAACTAATTACATATAAAACGGCACAATTACTAAACACTTACGGATTTATAACTACTAAAACCAACACCAACAGAAATAATAAACAAAAAAAAGGTAATTCAACAGCTCTCAGAATAAGAAATAGCCAAAAACACAACGACACTTCTATATTTTACTTTTTCTTCCCAACACAATATATCTGAGCACGATAAGATAATCCTTTTTTTCGAGGATACGGTTAGGATCGGCTACACGCCTTTGGAACTCCTTGCCCGATGACATCAGAAAAGCTCCCAATAAGTACGCTTTTAAAAAGTTGGTCTGTGATCATTTATTAAAGACAACACATTCTACATGACTCATCTATTTAATATGTATTGCCAAACAGACGTATATATTCATAGTCATTTGTATATACTAATTATGTATGTATTTAAATATGTTTACTTGTGTGTATATCCATTTATTTATATATTTGTATATATGTAAGGATAGATCATATATGTATAGTTTAATTATTAGTAGCTTGTATATATTATGTAGTTAATTATCATTTGTATTGTGTTATCTTATTCTATATTGCCACACCTATGTCAAATTCTCACCACTCCATGGGTTGACTGGTAGAGAAAGCCTCAAGGCATTAAGTCTGCCCTTTGTATTCTTTTGTTAAGGATGCAATAAAGAATAAAATAAATAAGTAAAAAAGTAAAGTAAAAATAAATAAATATTGTGCTGATGGACCGGGCACAGTCAAGTATATTTTGGTCGACATTACCATTCAGTATGACGAGAACCTCGTGAAAGCCGAAACAGATAAGCGAACAAAATTTCTGGACCTGGCTCACGAGGTGACCGACATGTGGGGTGGTCGGCCGGCCGAAATTATTCCTGTAGTCGTGTCTGCGAATGGGCTAATCCCAGCCAGCCTCTCGGGTCATCTGAGGCGGCTGGGACTACGTGGCGGACCGCTCCGGGCTTAAATGCAGAAGGCAGTGCTCCTCGATACCGCCCGCATCGTCCGTCGGTTTCTTTCCCTTTCCTCCTAACCCTCAGCCGTTTGGTCTCCCCTACCGAGGGCTTCCATCTGGTTGGGTCTTTATTTATTTATGTAATTTTTGTATTTATTTTATTTTATTGATATTTATGTATATTTATCTTTTCATTTTAATGCATAATTATATATTTATAGAACCCAACCAGATAAGAAAACTATACAGATATCCCAAAATAATAATAATAAGACCTTTTAATCTGAACTTAAATATATAAATAATATAAGTTGTATTTCTTTTTTGTTTTTTATAAAATGTCCCTAAGTTCAGTTTGCCTCTTGGCATAAGCCTCCTCTAACATTTGAAGAGACTGTAGCACCGCCTAAATTTTGACGGAATCAAAAGCTTTCTCATAGTCCACATACGCCAGACAAAGTGGCAGATTGTACTCTTCGGACTCCTGTACAATTTGTCGAAGGGTAAGTATGTGGTCTATGGTACTAAAGCCTTTTCGGAAACCGGTTTGTTCGGGAGACTGGAAGTCGTTGAGTCTGCGTGCGAGACGATTCGTAATGACTCTCGAAAACAGCACGTAGACGCGGCTCAGAAAGGAATTTCTCGTGTAGAGCCATGTGGGTGTAAGGGTCTGGTTTTTGGGGTTGGTTAGGTTTTATAAAATCGGTCTGTAGTTCTTCAAAAGGGCGGTGTCACCTCTCTTGAAGAACAAGACCACCGCACTTCTGCTTCACGTCTTCGGAGTAGTGCCACCACGGAGGACGGAATTAAAGAGCCTCTGAAGGACTTCAAGTACCGGTTTTCCACCCGCTTTCAGAAGCTCCGCTGTAATTCTATCCTCGCCCGGGGACTTACCGTTTTTAAGGTGCTGGAGAGCCATTGTTATCTCGCTCAGACTGACATCCGGTATATCATCGGAATAGTGTCAGATAAGACTTGCTCTTGGATGGTTACACTTACGAGTGGCTCCAACGATGATGTGTACAGCCGCCCATAGAACCTCTCAATCTCACTCAAAATCTCAGGTATCCCAGAAACGATGCTGCCACACTCAGTCTTCAGCTTTGACAGTTGGCTCTTACTGGCAGACAGATCTCTGGCAAAGAATTTAGAGCCCTGGTTCCGCTCAATCGCTTCTTCAATACGAGCAGTATTAAAGTTGCGTAAGTCTCGCCGCATGCATTTCGAGATCTGTCTGTTCAGTTGCCTGTATGCTGTCAAATCTGTTGACCATTGCAGCCTCATCTCCTGTCTAACACAAAAGATTAAGCGTGTGATCGGAGAGTTTTTGTGATCTTCTGCGGCGGGTCTTGCAGAACTTAGCTCCGACCGCATGGACAATTTCTACGAGCTTGTCATTCATATCGTCCACTGCATTGCAATCTTCTAGGCACTGAAAGCGGTTACGTAACTCGAGCTGAAAGGTTTCGGGATTCTGGATTAGAGCACGAGGGGGACGGAGTGTTGACTTCATTAGATGAGACCTCTCCAACTTAACGTTTAGGTTCAGTGTGCCTCTAATCATTCGGTGATCGCTGCCGGTTTTCACCCTTGCGATCACTGAGACATCACTGAACAGTTGACGTCTGGTCGTCATAATGAATTCAATCTCATTTTTTGTCGAACCGTCGACCAGGTCCACTTCCTGTGCGGCCGCTTCTGGAAGAAAGAATTTATCATAAAGAGTCCCTCTTTCTCCATAAAGTCGGCCAGCTGCTGGTCCCTATGGTTCCGTTGCCCTACTCCAAATTTCCCTAACTTCAGCTCACCGCTTTCTCTTGTAGTTTTGCGTTGAAGTCTCCCATCAACACTGTGTAGTGGGTTTTGGAGGAATGCATGGCTTTGGAAATATCCTCATACATTTCTTCCACCTCCTCATCGGGATGTGCCAAGGTTAGTGCTTTGAAGTATCAGGTATGCGACCCTCGTCGATACACTCCCAATCTTTACAACATTGTTGACGAGAGACTTTAACGTTGGACGATAAATCCGACACCTCCTTGGGACAGATGGTCGCCCTCCCGGTGATAGAACAAGTTGCCGGACTCAAGGATTACCGTGTCCTCTCTTCCGACCTCGGATAACCCAATAATATGCCAGCGCAACTTGTCTACCTCTTCTTCCAACTCCAGTATCTTCTCGTCAGTCCTCAGGATGCGTGTATTATACGTTGCCAGGTCGAGTCGTCGTAGGTGGCAACCGAACCTTCACCGGAGATTCACGACACCGGAATAGCGGGGCTGCCGGGGACTGGGGGCCGTTTGTTTGCATCGTTACTCATGGGGGAATATTTGCCATAGTTGCCACGCTTGGCGAGTGGGTTGGCAACCGCAGTTTGTTATTTATTATTGTTGTTATTAGGAACATGCTAATGCCCATCTCCTGCCTGTCTCCCTCTGTCGCCTCTTACGACACCCACGGGAAGATATGGGGTAGTGGATTTTCTCAACCGCCACTACACGGCATTTAAGTATGTACCGTAGGCCAATGAAATGTGTTTGGTTGATAAGTGATCATTTTGACAATACAAGAACTAAGAGAGTTTAGAGATATAGAAACTATCTATTGTTTTATTTACTAAAAATGTAGTAAGTACTTGTGTGCTGGAGAAACAGCAGATAGTGCTTGATATTCAATTTATGGTTACAATCATCGAAAGTAAGTGGTGACTTAGGGGCAGTTGGTTTCAAGAAATTTACAAAGTAAAAAAGACGTTTTAGACCATAGCTAGGTAAGTATTCTTGTCCTAACTTCGAGCGTTTATAATAAGTTCTAACACATTTATTTCTTTATTACCTATTTGGTAACAGCAAATCCTAACCTAAAAAGTGACATTAATATTTTCTGGGCTTCGTAGCGTTTAAATTGTAAAATTGACTATATAACATTATTTTCTAAGCTTACACATAGTTTTTCTATTATACCTTATAACTATACATAAACTTTCACTATCAGGTTTTTAAATGTATGGAAAGTGGGCATGATTCTTTCAATATCATCTAAAAGTAGTAAACGTGGCATTCACAAACCTCTTCAGAAATGTCCATTTCCAAATCCTGAAGGTTTATTGGAATGACATTGTCATTCAAAAGAGCCCACCTTTCACGAGGGATGATAGTTTCAGCTTCATTAATAATCAATCGATCGTCTTTTTTAATATCTTCTTCGCGAAAGTGCTTCTCACACACAAACTGATTTGGAGTCAATTGTTGTGATAAAGCTTTTGACCATTTTTTCCTCAATACGTTACTCTGAAAGTGAATGAATAAATTTTGAGAATTTACTAACTTGCAAATCTTGTAATTAACCTTAACTTCAACAATTTCTTAAAAGTTCATTAAATATTAATCTATTTAAAAAAACGATTAATTAAGCAAATAATAATTTTACATACTCAATATTTCAATGTACACCTATGAATCGATAACGTATAAAGATATTACCTTTGGTACAACTGGACCGACCTTTTTACTAAACTGTGTATCAATCTTTTATTTCGATCGTAATTGTTTATTTTCTGATGTTACAAGTATAATTATAAGTTAATTTTATGAAGAGTATCTCAATCTATAATGATAAATAAAAATCTATGTAAACAAGCAAGTATAAGTGTTGTTTTTTTTCACTCAAACTTTAAAATTCTTTTTTTCAAAACAAGCTTTTACAGAATTTCAACTTCAAAATGTCTGGTAAAAAAATATGTGCCGGTTTTTGAATATTTTTTTTAATCTGTACTATAACATCATCATTACAGCCCTTCACAAGTCCACTGCTGAACATAGGCCTCCCCCAAGTAATGCCACAAAGCACGGTCCTGAGCCACCTGCATCCATCGACTTCCGGTCTTACCAGGTCGTCAATCCATCTAGTGGGGGGGTCGCCCTACACTACGCCTACCGGTACGAGGCTGCCACTCGAGAACCTTCCTACCCCATCGGTTATCGGTTCTTCGAGCTATATGGCCGGCCCATTGCCACTTCAGCTTACTAATCTATTGGGTTATGTCGGTCACTCTGGTTTTACTGCGGATATCCTCATTTCTGAGTCCATCACGCAGTGAAACTCCGAGCATAGCCCTCTCCATAGCTGTACATCTGCTGCTCTATCTGTACTATCAATTGACTATTATAGCTACTGAATTTAGGCCGTAATACAAGACTACTGTATCCACATATGCATACCGCTGGGTACCTAAAACACAGTCTTCCAGGCTGAATGCATGGGTATCATCCAAACGGCCATAGCAATAGATGCTAGGAAGGTGAAAGACTTCTCCATCAGAATACTGACTGACAGTATGGCAGTACTACAATATACGAATGCCATCAACGATTGAATGAGGTATGTAAGCACAACAATGTGACTGCAATGAATCAACGGACACAGTGGATCTAGAGGCAACAATGCAGCAGATGAACTGGCCGAAGGGGATCGGCACTGGCAACTATAGGGCCGGAACCAGTAATACCAATCCCCTTTGGCTACGTTCGTCAACTGGTACATAGATACTTCAATAATTTACACGCTCAGCTTTGGAAAAATTTAGTAGACTGTAGACAAGCTAGGGAGGCCCTACCTGAAATAAACAGTCGTCTAACCAAGGTTCTAATGAGACTGAACAAGTCACAGATCAGGATAGTAACAAGTACTATCACATGACATGGCTCTTTTAACAAACATTTGTTCTCCATAGGTGTTACTGATAGCCCCCGGTGCAGGGCATGCATGGGAGAGGCAGGAACGGCGGCTCACGTGTTGCTGACATGTCAAGAAGTCGCTTCATACAGGGCTAAACATCTCGGCACGCCGGGATCGCTCCCCGAAGTTGCTTGCAACAGCAAGGGACTGCTGAGCTTCTTCGGGAGATATCATGGCTCGAATAACCATATTATTCCTGCCCACAAGCAAAATACGCGCTTAGACGTGGAGTTGCGGAAAACAGCCCGTCTAACTACCCGACTCTTGGACCCTTTTCGCTTGGAGGCCCACATATTGTAAATTTTGAGAATTTCCTAATTTGCAAATCTTGTAATAAACCTTCATTTCAACAATTTCTTGAAAGTTCAATAAAGATTTTAATTATGTAAAAAAAAACAATATTAGTTAAGCAAATAATAATTTTACATATTCAATATTTGTGCAGCTATGAATTGATAACGTATGAAGATATTACCTTTGGTACTTTAAATAACGATGATTGACGCAAATTCTTTTTCTGTCTATTTTTCCGATCAGATACTGAACCACTTGTACATCCACGCACAATACAATATTTCACCATTTTTAAAATGTTTCTTTTACGTTGTGTAGTACTCTTATTAGTTTGTGTTAGCTGTTTCCATAGATTTACTGTGTGTGTGTTTCTTTTCATAGAATCCATAGATAAATAAATATGTAGGAAGCTAATAGAATCTGATAGAATCATAGATAAGCTCATAAGCTCGTATAATCGGGAGTATGGAGCACAGAATACTTTTGCCCCGGGTATAGATAAGTTAGTACTCTTATGTAGTTTGCTGGGTATGGAGTGTAGAAGTAAGGAGTACAGACTGTGTATTAAAAAGTGTCCATTAAATAAGGGTGGCGCCACTAAACTACGGGCTAAATTTTAAAGAACGTGCCGAAAAATATTACTGGGATAGATGACTTTTTCGAGGTTATATTTATTAAATAAAATTATTTTAGATTTTAGAGCTACTGAGCAGTTTAGCAGCACACTTCAAACCGACGACAACTGCTAAGTTCATTTCATCCCAGTAGCTACTCCAGCGCTGTTGTAGAGAGTTTTTGAACTGTTATTTACTGCTTACAGATGGCCACTTTTTCAACTATTCTACTATAGGAGTTGGTACTCCTTACTTCTACACTCCATAAGCGGGAGTTTCTTTTTGTCAAAAATTAAAAAATTACGGAGCACGATTATTTTCTCATTTAGTTTCTCTATCCGGTCTGTGAAAAATTTGTACATTACCTATTCAACTTCATCTATTTGTATGCTTGTACTCATAAACAGCTAACTTCGCAGATACTACTTACCGACGGCAGTGGACGGCAGTCATAGATTACTGAATATATCACTGACTTAGAGGTATTATTATCTCTATGGAATATATATTAAGGAAAATGTCAAACATCGATGTCAATGAACCAATATTCGGTTAATAAGAATTTGTGAACAATGTGAACCCACGAAATCAATATCAACTAAATATTTCATATCCTATTAAAGGTTTAAAATTTGAATAATTCAGTATTCCTAAATGCATCGATCATCTAAAAAAATATGTTGTATCAAACTCCCTGTGTGTGAACTGTAATGTCAAAGTTGTCACTGCTTACGCTTTGTTATTCTGTGGTGTCGTTGTTGGTTGTCGCTTATAATATAATAACTATTCTTCACAAATTGATATTCAAATTAATTGTTTTTTCCCTTGCTGTCTTATACACACATAATTTTGAAACAGTATGTATATACACAATTCAATTATATTTAGCCGTTTTTTTGAGCTTAGGATAAAGGGTTTATTGTTTGTTTGAATTTTATAAGAATAAATTACTGGGCGATCGTGAGCATAGACAATTTAACTGCTTAGTGCGTTCTACAGTGCATTTTATAAGCGGCTATGGATACTTACTGCTTGGGCGGTCTGATTAAAAATTGTGAACTAAGGTGACGGAAAAGTCTATTATATTGTTTTTGTGAAGTTTGTTAAATTTTCCCTCTATAATCATAGTTTTTATTTCGCGATAGGAGTAGTTAATATAAATCCTACGTCTAATACGTAAATTAGGTCCCATAGTAAATTTTTGCATACCAGATTTGTTATTGTATAGAAACATTTAAAGATCAAAATAATAAACATTCATCACTATCGGCGGAAAATGAACTACTAAATATTTTTTAAGTTTTTACCATTTTTTAATAACTGTTTGGCACTAAATGTTTTATTAATTTCTTTCATTTCATTAATAATAAACCATAAATAACACTACCAAATTTTTTTCATCTAATTTTAACCGACTATATTATATAATTATAAATAGCTACATGTGCAAATATCGATAACGGCCAACATCGATGTTTTGAGTAGGATAAACATCGAACATCGATGTTAAGCTATCGATACTAACATCGATGTTTCTGCAACATCGATCATCCCTAATATATACTATGGTTCATAAAAGATAGCTTGATCTCTGCGACAGCTGTCAGTAAACATCACGCCTATGAAGTCCTGAATTTCTTAGTAGTACAGACACGTAGACAGAGATTCTCGTACAGAAATGTCATACTTTATGGGCATGCCGACCTAATTAGTGCATGCCCATAAAGTATGACATTGACAGATACTGTCTGTACGTAGACAGAGAAACCTATAGACAAATTGACACCTTCTTTCGCATTCGCACACGAAAAAGATAGATTTATGCATACGTCTTGAATAGAAATGAGATAGAGCGGTGTGATTGTTTGTCCCTTTCTCCGTGCAGGTTTTTTTGTTTAGCAAACTCTACAGTTTGCTAAACAACTTTAATAGCGTAGCGATTTAAGGAGTTTGCAAGTTGGTTTAAGTGAAAAAAAGTGTTTTGTGAGCTTAAGATTGGTAAATCTTGTTCAGTTCAGTTCTTAGAACAATTAAAATTTTTATCTAAATGTGTTTAAAAGTCATAAAGATTATTGTATACCTAACCTAAAAATTCGTTATCATCCTTTCTCACTCGAGGCCACGCCGATCATTAGTCTATAGGTTTCTCTGTCTACGTGTCTGTACTACAAAGAAATTCAGGACTTCATAGGCGTGATTTTTAGTGACAGCTGACGCAGAGATCAAGCTATCTTTTATGAACTATATATTATTATAGAAGGCAGTTCAGGGTCAAGGACAGGCGGGCTATGCTGCCGTCGTAAGAAAAAAGGGCACATCTAACATTTTTTAAAAATTGAGCTATATACATATTTAGAGTCAGAAAAAAAGGCACATCTGCTCAATTTTTTGTAGAATTTTATCTTCAAGGAATTCGGAGATACAGTAGGCTCAAAAGGCACAAATGAGCATAATATTCATATTTTATAGAATGAAAAGGCACATTTATTTACCATTATATTGAAAAGGCGCAAATACTGTTACTATAGTAAGTTAGGTAGAGCCATCCATCATCATCATTACAGCTTGAATTTTCTATTACTTCATACAGATTTTTACTAAAAACTACTTCGAAAAGGCACATCTACAACATAACATAAAGAATCAAATGCCAGATGTGCCTTATCTACTTAATTAATGATCCATCTATGTCTCAATTAATTTACGTATAAAAGGCACAAATAACCAGTTGTGCCTTTTCTTTAAATTATTTACGATTAGGGGTGAGAAAAGGAGGGCAGGGTTTGATTGAAACGCGCCAGTTGTGCCTGCGACGTCGAAGACTCCACGCTTGTCAGCAGCCTGCCCGCGCTAGGTAAGTTTATTTACGTTTTATCCATGTTTACATGTTGTTTCTAATTCAAGTAGGTAGGTACATAACTTTGTAGGTTAGGTCGTACACCTAGGTAATCTCAACAGTTACCTGTCGGTTTCTAGACAGATGTGTCAAACAAAGCCACGATAATAGTAATATTATCTAACTATGTCTACAACACCCGGAATTCGAGGTGCGTAGGCATAGCCTGCGCTTCGTCCGTTTGTATGAACTTGGAATTGTATTAGATAATGTTACCGTGCCTTAGCTTAACACCTATGTGACATGTCATAATATTTAATGAATTAAGTAGGAATATGATAAACATATATTATTATTAATTTCACGTGTTTTTCCCTTATTTCAGATAATTTTAAAAATGCAGTCACGTGGTAAAAGATTAGTAAGCGCCGCTTTACAAAATCTAAAGCTTAGATCTGATATTGACGAGCAGATTCCGTCCACTAGTGGTCTACAAAACTGGTCGCCACAAATTCTAGTATCAGAATCAGATTTTGATTCAGACGATTCAGTAGCCGATAAAGATTATGAGCCACCAAAAACGACAAAACGTACATTATTGCCGCTCAATGCTCAAAACAATCAGTGGTTAAAAACTTTAATATGAGGGGTGAAAACTATGAACGACGTGAAGCCAATATTTTATTGGATGATTCTAGCTCCGAATCAGACGCCATTCCATGTTCACAACCGTGTTTGGAAAAAACGATTCCAGAATCTTCAGATGAATCTACAAAAGATGAACTTACAAAAAAAGGGACAGTAAGAAAGCGCAAAAGATATGATGTTAGTCTTAAAGAACGAAAGAAAATTAAAAGAGAAGAAAAAATATATACCAAATATTTTGTGAAACCCGGAGCCAAGAGAACATTTGTAAAAAAAATGTTCAACGAAATTCTCAGAGGATTACCGCGAAATTATTAATCGTAATTTCTGGAAAATGTCTTGGTCGGAACAAAAACACTTTTTTTAGCTAATAATATCCAGAAAAAAGCCTGCAAGACCAAAGAAAAAAAGTCATGATGATGAGCATGGTAAACACTATGATCGAACTAAGACTGTTTCGTATTTCTTATGTGATGAAAACATTGAGAAAGTTACGGTATGTAAAATATTTTTCTCACGACTTGGTTACAACGATCGACTCGGTTACTCGACGACTGGGTTACAAGAAAAGTAACTGTAAGGCTGTGAGGAACATTATTGACACATACTATAAAACACAATACGCAGAGCCTATTGCTGACGGCCGAGATCATAACCCGAATCCATCACAAATAGACAGTACAAAGGTAAAAGAACATATTATGTCTTTTCGTTCAGTTGTGTCGCATTATAGGAGAGTTCATGCACCAAACCGGAAATATTTGCCCTCGGATATCAATATCCGCATGATGTACGACAATCATTGTGAGAAAGAGCCTGAAATAAATGTGCCCTATGGATTTTATAGGAATGTCGTAAATGAGCTTAAAATATCCTTCACAAAGCTTGGACACGAGGAATGTGAATTGTGTGAAACATTTTCTATTCACAACCCTAACGCAGCAATAAGGCACAGGTATTGCGAAGAATGCCAAGAATATGAAGATCATCACACTAGGTACATTTCAGCGAGAAAAAAATATGAAGAGGATGTTGAAAGCCAAACGAAGCAAAAAAGTACTGACACCATAATATTTGCAGTTGATTTAGAAAAGGTAATTATGTTACCTCGCATGGAAGAATTTAAAACGGTAATGTTTTGCCAAAGGCTTATCGTTTTCAATCAGAGTTTTCTTCCTGTAGGTGACAAAAGGTAACATGGAGTTGGCAAAACACTGGGAGTCTTATGGCACGAAGCTATTGCAGGGAGAAAAAAAGAAGACATAATTAGCTGCTTTCAAGTATTTTTCAAAAATCAAAAATGTGATTTTGTGACTGGATAACTGCGCGGCCCAAAACAAAAATTGGTGCCTTTTTTCCTACTTAGTATATTTAGTCAATTCCAAGGGTGTAAATATTGAAAGTGTTATGCTGCGTTATCTGGAAGTTGGTCATACTTTTATGGCTGCCGATGAATTTCACCATAGAGTGAAGCAATCACTTAAGAAGAACAAGCGAGTGTATGACTTTGAAGATTTTTGCAAAGATGTCGCTGATACTGGTTCAAATACTGTGGTGAAAAAAATGATATTCCAGGATTTTCACGATTTTGAAGACTGCTCTTCGTCGTATAAATTACAACATTCTGTGCCGCGAGCTTATTTAAGAAACATGTCTGAAATCACTTTTCGGCGTGGGAGCAATTCGATGTTCTACAAGAATAGCCATGACATTGAAGAGCAAATAGAATTGGATTTCTTGGGAATTAAAAATCTTAAAATTGGCATTCCATTGCCTAAGTAGAAGCTTTCTCCACGAGGTATAACATCTGAGAGGAAATCAGCTATACTTTCCAAGCTTGGGCCACTCATGCCTGACAACAGAAGAGGTTTTTGGGAAACCCTACACATTAACGACAGTTCAGCTGATCTCACAGAAATTTATGAAAACTGAAATAAAAGACCATTTTTTAAATTAATATTTTAAGCAAAACTGATTATTTAATTTTCTTTATACTTTTTATAGTTATTACCTATATATGCATTGTGATAATTCAACCAAGTGCCATGTTATGTTTGTTATAGTTACATTTAATTTTTAAAATAATAATAGTATTTTTAAAAATATTAAACTACGAGTGCCTTTAATAATTACGGGTGTAAGCTATTTCCTATAAATGAACAATAAATAATTAGAATAAGCTCTAATAGAGTATAGATAGATATATTAGAGCTTATTCTAATTATTTATTGTTTTTTATAATTATATAAAAGTTAAAAACAAAATTTATGCTCCTAATTACTACCTCTATTAAGAATTAAGAATATTTTGATTTATTTTTCATATTGTGATTTAGAGTAACTATTTTTTTTATAGATTTTTAAGTTAGGGTCCAACCTGTTAGTAAAAATAATAAAAGTAATTAATTTTTACTTTCCTTAGGTATCTAACTAAACAAAAAGTGTAATTGAGTTGAAGTATTAGCACTTTTTGTTTCTAATTCATAAGTTCTATTTGTTAACCAACATTGTATGTAGATAATAATTTATAAATAAGTATTGAATATTACGGACGTTTTTTTTTTTGTTTAAATGTTGGTATCTTAGAAGAAGATTTGTTAAGTTTTGTTTCAGTTATTTGGATAAGCTAACCAGAAATGCCATGATAATATTATAAATATGTTTTATAGTTTATTAAACTTTCTTCCCATGATTGTTTTTGTAGAAAACATTTAGTCAATTTAAACTAAAAAGGCACAATTAGACAAATGTGCCCTTTCTTTTAGACTCAATTACCAATTTGCTTTAAATATTAAAAAGAAAGGTCACATTTGGTTAACTATGCCTTTTCTTTGTAGTAAGTGGTATTTCTAAAATATTTTTTTTTAAGTTGAAAGGATTTTTTTGAATTTATTTAATAATTAATTATATATTAAAATATAATATTACTAACCTTCACGCATATATTATCAGTATTTCTTTTTCTTTTAAGCGATAGGTTTCCACACTATGAAGCAGAATATGGTAAAAACTTTAATCCCAATTATCTCAGTTTGACCAAAATGATAGATGTGTCCTTCTCTCGTACGACGGCAGTATGCTATAGTTTAGCATTTAGCACGTAGCCAGTAATGCGTAGCGATAATTCTCCTTCTCTCTAACCCCCGTGGATAAAACTTTGTTTCACAGCATATTTTATGTTGCGAATTATGTTTTGGACACTTTTTATAAAATCTTTGATTAAAGGAATTAAACAAAATCAAAAAAGTGACTAACTTCAGTCAGTCGGTCATATCTGCATTATCTGTGCTCCCTTGGGGTTACTAATAATGTTTTGAAAATAAAATCAAAACGAAAGTTGTTAAAGACAAATATTTATTTAACATTAATTGTTAATATGTTTCAGTTGTAAAGACTTATTTGCACAAATTCTAAGACTACCTAATAGACGTTAAAACGTTAAAATTCGTGCTTTACTCTTAATTTTAGGTAATTTATCAGGTTACACTTAGGTATATGTCAGCTTACTTATCCATCATCCAGTAGTTCATTTTCTTCCGTACAATATCTGCTGAAGTAGTAGAGTAATTATAAATAAATGCTCCCATTTAGCATTCTACCATGTCATGCGTATAAATCTTAATTCTTTTGAAATAAAATTTCCCCTTTCGATAAGTGTAGGATCAAATAAAGAGAATTATTTCTCTTTTTAAATTTCAAAAGTATTCTTGCTGTTATTGTTTAATTATTGCTTACGTTGTTGTTAGTTGTAAATTGATCATAGACACCATTTTATTATGTTTGTTATAAATCTTTTATTATATATATTTTTTTAATTACTGCCTTCGTAGCATTTTGCAAAATCTATAACAAATTGATAGCCTAATATGTGCTATATCTCCTTTATCATCAAACCAAAACATGTTCATGGTCATATTTTCAATCTTAACATCCTCAGTCTTCAAAACCTATGACAATTGCATTGTAATGTAGTGAGGAGAACACTAGCATCTCATCGAGCATTATGAAGCGCTCTGCCGTGCTTTGTTCTTTCATTTGCTAAAATATAATTGAGTCTATACCTGCTTTAATTTGTATTTATTTAACGACATTTTTAATGTCCGTCTTGAGGACAAAGTGAACAATTTCCTTAAGAATATATATATCTTTAAGGTTTTTTTTTAAATTGAAATTAACAAACAATTTGTCTTCGAAATTGTATCATCTTCCACGACATTTTTTCTTGGTATTATTTTTGTTGCTTTATGTGGTATCTTCCACAATTTATTAGATTGATTATAATTTCGTAAATGGTTGGTGAGGTTATATTATGTATGAGTACGACGTTATAATACATATATAAAATGCTCATTTTGTAAAAAAAAGTTATAAAAATTTACACATGTAAACAATGGTATAGTTCAGCGGTCCGCAACATTTTTGATATTGCGACCCCAAAATTCAAAAAAGAGTTATGAGCGACCCCAGAAAAAAAAATCACTAAGTTAACAAGTGCAAAGGTTGGTTCAGGTAACGAAGTTAGCTGTTTTTATTTCGTAAATTATTTATATTGAAGAGTTTATTTATTTTGGAAAGTAATATTAGAGCAAACTAGAAAATATGCATTTAACATACGAGTAATATTTATGATGGCATTAAATGAGACAAGCAATTATTTTAATATTTTATTTAAAAAAGAAGGTACATATACGTAACCTTACAATCTAATGTGAACCTTGTGCTTGCACACTTGCAGTCAGTATATTAATTCTTGGTCATATATTATCAGAAACAGACACCCTCAAATCAGGTTCTACGTTAAGTCTGGAGCGATATTTTGTTTTTATAGCAGTTAATGTAGAGAAAGCTGTGTCGCAAAGGTATGTAGATACGAATGGCAGCAATTTCAGCAGTGATGTTTTGAATAACAGTGGATATTCCTTTTCCGTTATTATCCAGAACTTGGATAGATCCGTTGTTTTGAAAATAGATCGAAGGCTTTCATCGGACATTAAATCGATCAGCTGCTCCTTTTCTTTTAAGTTCATCTTCACAGTGTTAAGATCACAAGTGAATGGATTAATTATCCATTGGTCGCCGTGTGACGTATCTGGAAATCTTATTTCCAAGTCTTGCTTAAGGTTTGTAAGATGCATCATGATTTTGGTTTTAATTTCTTCTTCGAGTTTTATATTGTTTTCTTCAGAAATTTTTTCCAAACATGCAAACATCTCGTAGTTTTCAGCACTGATTTCGTCTATCCACAAACTTATTTTCCTACAAAAAGCTTTTATTTTGTTAGCTAAAATCAATACATTTGTACTCTTCCCTTACAACGATTGATTTAAATCGTTAAGTTTTTCAAAAATATCCGAAAGATAGCCAACTGTTGCCAACCAATTTTCATTCAAAAATATTCCGCTAGCTTTGGTTCCCGTTCAAGTAGAAATATTCTGATTTCATCTTTGAGATCAAATACACGTCGGAGTGTTTTTCCTCGCGATAACCACCTGACCTCCGTATGTAACAGTAGATTTTCGTATTCTGATCCCATTTCACGACACATTATTTTGAAAAGGCGACTATTTAATGCGCGAGCTTTAATAAAATTTATTATTGTTACGACTTGTTCCAACACTTTATTTACATCTGGTTACAAATGTTTTGCTGCAAGGGCTTCACGGTGAATCATACATGAACAAGCCTACGTGAGGTGCAATCTCAGTTACTTTTGCTTTGAATCCTGTTTTGGAGCCGGTCAATGCAGCTGCACCGTCTGTACACACAGATACACAATATTCCCACTTTATGTCATGGAGTTCAAAAAAGGTATTAACTGCATTAAAATTGCTTCACCGGTTGTTCTTCCTTCTAATCCCTGACAAAAAAACAAATCTTCGCATATGTCGTTTTCATATCGGTATCGGATAAATATCAGAAGTTGAGCTACATTAGCTACATCAGTGCTTTCATCCAGCTGAATAGCATAATAGGGACTCCCTTTCACGCGATCTATAAGTTGTATTTTGATATCATCAGCAAGTAGATTGATACGACGATGAACAGTGTCACTTGATAGTGGAATTGTTTTCAGTAAATTGGCATACTTTTCTCTTGGCATGATCGAAACCATTTTCATTGCGGCTGGGAAAATGAGCGTCTCGCCAATGTTGTGAGGTTTTTTAGTTTTGGCAATCAAAAAGATGTTTGTAAGGCTTTTTGGTTAACTGTTGTGTATTTTTGAAAATCAACCTGCTGTGATTTTAGTTTGGTGGCAAGTCGTTTAAAATAAGATTCATCTTTATTTTTAAACTGTGGATGCTTAGTTTCTAGGTGACTTTTCAGTTTGGCCGGCTTCATGTTATTTGCCAAAACATCCGAACAAACAACGCACTGTGGACGTTGTTCAAAATTCAACACTGTACATTTAAAACCAAACCGGATGTACGATTCTTTAAAGATGCGTTGACGCTTCCCAGTTGTCTCCGACGTAGCTGTTGCTTGTTTAGTTGAAGTTGAAGCGTCACTCTCTGTATCGATGTGTAAGGTAGATGTGGCTGTTGAACTACAATCATCGCTGTTATGACTAATAGTTATAGTAGTGGAACTAGATGTTTCTCTGCTTTCATCGATAGTAATAACACTACTAGTACTTGAAGTGGTGGCATTGGTCTCACGACTTATATTACTCGTAACAGTAGTTGTCATTGTAGAATCTGAGGCGACACTGCTGTCAAGAACTACGTGTTTAATTCTTTTGATTTGTGATGCGTTATTAGGACTTCCGCCACCTGTATCTGTAGATGTGCGTTTTATTAGCCACTTATCCATTGTAAACTGCAATAATAAATACTTATTAATAAATAAAAAATGTATTCCAAACGATTAATATTAGATTTTTCGTCATATGCTCGCGTGGTAACAGGATTTACTTCAAATTTATTTTCAACGAAGCACAAATAGAGAAGCAAAAAAAGTGGCCAAGTGCGAGTCGGACTCGCCCATGAAGGGTTCCGTGGTAGCAAGTAATGATATGACTGGATGTTATTTTCACCAACACTCTATGATGGTGCCATAACCAAGAATAAAAACTTAAAAAGTAGTTTAAATATTAAAAAAACATAAAGTTATTATGTATTGTGATGACAAAGGTAAAAATTTGGGCATGATGTTAAATAACCATTTAAAAGGACAATTGATTAGTAATTATTGTATGCCTGGAGCATCCTTTAGTCATATAATGAATAAAGTTTTAACCAGTAAGCTTTGTCCTAATAGCACATTAATAATTCTTGTTGGGAGAAGAGGCAATGTAAACAAAAATCAGTTATTATACAAATTGATTACCTCAATACTTTAAATGTACATAAAATTATCTTGTTTACATTGCCTTACATACAGGGTTGGCCACAGGAGAATAAAATAAGATATGATTTAAATTTATTAATGAATAATTTATCATGTAACAATAATTTAAATTTGACATTTAATTGTAACAATTATACCAATAGAATTAATTTAATAGATATTAATAATTTAATTAAGAAATTTTTGACTACAGATAGATATTACCTATCCAAATATAATTTAAGACAGATAATAAATGTGCTATAAATATATATATAGCTAAAATAAGTAGGATATATAAAATTACCTCTGGAGTTGATACAGTGACCTGAAGGTAACTACTACTGCAACTCCTGGACGAGCGGAACTAGGTGTGCCGAGTTTGGGCTCGTTTTGTTGGTTATGATGAGACCTTACCTCCGGACTTGATGGTGTGACCTGAAGGTGTACTTTCGTGACCGCTATTTGAACTTCTTGCAGAGTTTTTTTTTTATAGAAGAAGGGGCAAAAGAGCATGTGGCTCACCTGATGTTAAGTGACTACCGCCGCCCATAATCAACCGCAACACCAGGGGAATTGCGGTTGCGTTGCCGGCCCTTTAGAAAGGAGTAAGCTCTTTTCTTGAAGGTCCCCAGGTCGTATCGGTCCGGAAAAATCGGCGGTGGTAAACTATTCCACAGAGAGGTTGTACGTGGAAGAAAACTCCTTGTGAAACGTACAGTGGTGGACCGCCAAGCATCCAGATGGTGTGGATGGTATCGGGACGTTTGCCGTGTAGTGCGTTCACGAAATTTGGCGGCTGGGATTAATCCGAACAATTCCTCAGAGCACTCCCCGTGATAGATGCGATAAAATACGCAAAGAGATGCGACATCTCTTCGCAGCGCCAGTGAATCGAGCCGATCGGAAAGCACTCGGTCGTCGACGATTCGAGCCGCTCTGCGCTGGATGCGGTCAAGTGGAAGGAGCTGGTACTGGGGAGCCCCAGCCCAGAGATGGGAACAGTATTCCATGTGCGGCCGAACCTGCGCCTTGTAAAGTTGCAGGCGGTGTGCCGGCATGAAATACTGTCCCGCTCTGCTGAGCACGCCAAGCTTTTTAGAGGCCAATTTGGCCTTTCCTTCCAAGTGACCACGAAACTGCACGTCACTCGATATGTCGACGCCGAGGATTCCGATACTGGCTGAGGCAACAAGGGGGAATGCCTTGAAACTGAGGGGATACGACAAAGGGGTTCTTTTTAGCGGTTAACGCGCAAATTTGTGTCTTCTGGGGGTTAAACTGGACTAGATTTAGTCGCCCCCAATCCGAGACTCTGTTCAGCAAAGACTCGACTTCAGACACAAATTTGTTCCGGCACTCGGAGACGTTTTCCCGAGAAATATTGGCTCGACCGGTGTAAAGAGCATCGCCAGTGCTGTCATCTGCATAGCAATGAATGTTACGGGTTTGCAACATATCATTGATATGCAGAAGAAACAGCGTTGGCGATAGCACGCAGCCCTGTGGAACACCAGCATTAATAGCAAGGGAGCTTCGAAAGAAGCGCTTTGTGCCAAACCCAATCGAAGGCCTTCGCAATGTCCAAACTAACGGCCAATGCCTGCCCCTTGGACTCTACTGCCTCCGCCCATCTGTGAGTTAGTTAGACAGAAGATCACCAGCTGACCGGCCACGGCGAAAACCGTATTGGCGGTCACTAATCAGCTGGTGATCCTCAAGGTACCTCATGAGCTGGCAGTTTACAATGGACTCCATTGTTTTGGAGAACAAGGAGGTGATGGCGATAGGCCGGTAGTTGGACGGGTCCGGTCGCCTTTTTTAGGGATCGGGTGGACGAAAGCCGTCTTCCATGATTTTGGGACTACGCCTAGGGAGTAGGAGTACCGGAAAAGACGCGTTAAGACCGGTGCCAACTCTGGAGCACACGTCCTCAGCACAATTGGGGGGATTCCGTCAGGCCCACTCGATTTGTGGATGTCCAATTAAAATACTTATGACTTTTACTTATTTTACCGGCACAATTAAGTATTATTTAACAACTGTAGGTAACTAAAAGTTGAGGTGGATATTATCAATTTACTATATTTAATTTTGCTAAATAGTTGGGAGCTATTATTTTACAACTTGTCACTTGGGTTGCCACAGAGTATCAGAGGTTACTTGTTCCAGAACAACATTATTTATTTTACTTTTTCTGCAACGTCTAATACATTTTTTATGTGGCGTTTAGTGCCTAAGACCAACATTTGAGATTTAGCTGCATTGAGAACCAAAGAATTTGCAATGAATTTAATACTTATACTTCTAAAACATTCTCCTTGAATAATCGTAAAGCATTTAATGAATGGGCGACAGTAGGAGTCCATAAGAGTAGAAAAAGGTTATAAAAACTTTACAGTGAAAGGTCATGATCCTAATCCCAGCGTCGAATTTAGGGAATATGTAAAAAAATATTCCAAAATATTTAAATGAGTGTGCTCCTTAGTCAAGCCATTGTATTTAAGCAACAAAATAAAGACTGCTTCTAATAAAATTTAAATCACATGGAGTATAATTAATAGTGAAACTGGTAAGGACAACTCTCGCAATTCAAACTACCAGTTAAGTTTTAACAATCATCATCATCATCATTACAGCCCTTCACAAGTCCACTGCTGAACATAGGCCTCCCCCAGGTAATGCCACAAAGCACGGTCCTGAGCCACCTGCATCCATCGACTTCCTGCATGTCTTTCCAGGTCGTCACTCCATCTAGTGGGGGGTCGCCCTACACTACGCCTACCGGTACGAGGCTGCCATTCGAGAACCTTTCTTCCCCATCGGTTATCGGTTCTTCAAGCTATATGGCCGGCCCATTGCCACTCCAGCTTACTAATTCGTTGGGCTATGTCGGTCACTCTGGTTTTACTGCGGATATCCTCATTTCTGAGTCTATCACGTAGAGAAACTCCGAGCATAGCCCTCTCCATAGCTCGCTGAGCGACCTTGAGCGTCCTCATACGGCCAGCAGTGAAGGACCACGTCTCTGATCCGTAAGTCATCACTGGCAACACGCACTGGTTGTACACTTTAGTTTTCAGAGATTGAGGTATACCTGACGAGAAGATGTGTCGTAATTTCCCGAACGCTGCCCAGCCGAGTTGAATCCGTCGATTGACCTCTCGGTCGAAGTTGGGCTTACCTAGTCGGACTATTTGTCCCAGGTAAACGTACTCGTCAACAACTTCGAGCATAGTGCTCCCAACAACTACCGGCATAGGTGAGACATGGACATTAAACATGATCTTTGTTTTGTCCATGTTCATCTTAAGATCTATCCGTTGGGAGACTCCATTGAGGTCATAGAGCATAGTGCTAAGGTACTCCAGCGATTCTGCCATAAGGACTAAAATAAACAATAAATTAACTAAATCAGATCAGTACGTTGCAATGGTTTTCGAGAAATATTTTACTGATATACCGATCTTAACCACTGTCACTGAATTCTTCTCCTGCCGTCGCCGAATCATTACTTAAACAAAATGTAAATGTGTGTACAAAGAATTTTACATTTCATAAAGTTTCATCAAAAGATATTGTAAAGTATTTTAAGACTATTGATATTAAGAGAACCGCCGATCTGTGGGGGATTTCTGTTAAAGTTATTGCGTCTATAATAGATACAATCGCACCTCAACTATCTATTATTTTTAATAGTAGTATCAAATCTGGTGTGTTTCCTGATTTAATGAAGCATAGTAAAGTAATACCTTTATTTAAATCTGGTAGTACATTGGACCCCCGCTAATTTTAGACCTATTTCTGTACTGCCAACACTTAGTAAAATTTTTGAAAAAATTATTCTTGATCAATTGTTAATTTTTTTTTAATGTAAATAAATTACTTCATAAAAATCAATTTGGTTTCACAAGGGATCGCTCGACAACTGATGCTGGTGTTGAGCTGATTAAATATATATTTAATGCATGGGAGAATTCACAGGATGCTTTGGGTGTGTTCTGTGACCTATCCAAAGCCTTCGATTGTGTTCACCATGAAACATTAATCAGGAAACTTCAACACTACGGTGTAAGAAACGATGCTCTTAAATTAATTATTTCATATTTAAGTGACAGAACACAAAAAGTTGTTATTAATAGTATGAGTTCTTCCGGGTCGATTGTACAAATGGGCGTGCCTCAGGGCTCAATTCTCGGCCCCTTTCTGTTTCTTGTATATATTAATGAATTACCTTACATAGTAGGGGATAACCATGATATAGTATTATTTGCTGATGATACTTCATTAATTTTCAAATTAAAACGACAGTTATTAAATTACGACGAAGTAAATAATGCTATAGCTAAATTAGTCAATTGGTTTAATGTTAATAATTTGCATTTGAATGGAACTAAAACTAAATGTATGAAATTCGTAACTCCTAATGTTAAACATGTCAATACTAATGTAATTTTAAATGGGGAGGAACTGAGCCTTGTTGA